TGCCGGGCTGGCGAGGCCCGAATTTAAGGCACCGCTTTGAGCCGAGCGTGCTGGGTCCGGGATGTCGTGGCTGCTGCCTTGGGCGAGTGTCCTTGTGTCTGGAGAGGAGGGAGGCTCCCGCCTACGAAGTGAAGGCTGATGAAAGCCCCTTGGCTTGTGTGCGTTTACCGCCCGCTCTGAGCTCTCCTGTACCTTCGGAGGCGCCCTCATGGGCTGGGAGGCTTCTCCGGTGCCCCCGCTGAAGGCCAGGCCACCGGCAAACCTCTGACCTCTCCGCCTTCAGTTTGACCCGAGCCCTCCAGGTGTCGGATTAGGGGCGGCAAGTCTCTGGGAAGCATTGCTTTTCACGTATTGCCCCCACAGGTGCAGCCCCTGTGCTTAGGCCCTCTCCTTGTCACTCATCCTGTGCTGCTCACATACAGTGGACGAAGTTATATATTTGTGACGTTAAAGAATAGGTGGGACATCCTAGGAAATAAAGCGAGGTCAGAATGTGCAACTCAAAGCAGTGTAAAAAAAATGAAATACAGAGGCGGGCGTGAAAGAAGCGTGCAAGAGAACAGAAGACACGGGCAGAATTCCCAGGCCTGCTGCCAACTAGCTGCGAGACCGTAGGCAAGTCCCTAACCTTTCATAACAACTAGTTTAAGTACTTACTGCCTAGTTAAGAACTGTGCGAGAACTTATATCTCATTTAGTCTTCTGAGTTCTACTGGGTAAATGCTGTTACCACCCCCACCCACCCCCATTTTACAGATGTGGGCCTGAGAAGTTAAGGAACTTGCCCCCAGTCAAGCAGCTAGTAAGAAGCATAGACTCGGTTTGAACTGAGATCAGGCCGGTACTAGAACCTGAGCTCTTGGCTGCGATGCAGCACTGCCCTCTCTGAGCTCTGTTCCTCCAGTAGGCTAGAGATACCTTTGGAGTTAGGACAGTTAAGTGATGGCAGGTATAAGTTAAGTAACAGGTGTGAAAGTGCTTTGCAGGTGTACACATGGAGTGGTTCTTGGCAAACTTCATTCATGTTCTATCTGAATGAATTTTAGTAGATGTACATTTGCTAGTTTCTTTTTCATTTTTCTTCAAATCTCATCTTTTAAGTAATTTAAAAAGAAAAGTCATTTTATTAGGCAGGTGGAAAAACAGTATCACTTGTTATAAGTGAAAGATAAGTACAAAAATAAATTTGTTGAATGAAGGAATGTTAAAAACCTGGCTAGGTACTCGTGCCTCCATCAAGTCTTGTTCCCTTTTTGTTTAAAAAAAGAGGTCTAGCCCAGCCGGGCGTGGCTCAGCGGTTGAGCACCTCGGATCCAGGCGATCGGGGTTCGATTCCGGGTCAGGGCACATGCCCAGGTTGCGGGCTTGATCAATGACTCTCTCATCATTGATGTTTCTATCTCTCTCTCCTTCTTTCCTCTCTCTGAAATCAATAAAGATATATTTAAAAAAATAAGTAAATAAAAAATAAAAATAAAATAAAAAAATTTAAAAAGAGGGCTAGCGAGAATTGGAGAGGCTTTAAATACTGCTGCCAGACTGCTGTTTTCTGACATTTGGGATTGAAAGAGAACTGAAATGTTAATGACACTTGTGATGTGTCCTAATGTCACACTAGAGTATGAATTAATCTTCCCTGTTTATAACAGAATACTTACTGTCTCTTTAGGCTGTTTGAACAGTTTAACACAAAAGATGGATATCAGACCAAACCATACAATTTATATCAACAATATGAATGACAAAATTAAAAAAGAAGGTAAGTGCTCTTTAAAAAGATTTGTTCACAACCAAAATGTGTTTAATTACTACCATCTTAAAAACTGTGCTGCTTCAAAACTTCTCATTTAGTTAGCTTTCTCAGTGCCTGAAATACTGGTTTATCCCTATCAGGGTAAGGACTTTAAGGCTTAAAAATAAGTAAGGGCTGAAAAATGTGTTGAACCTGTTTTCACTCATAGATAAACTGGGTTGAAATAACTTTTTAAATCAGAAAGCAAGTGGAAATAGTATAATGTTGTTATTAAAATGTGTAACTTTGCATAAATGAATAAGTGAATAGTGGGGGGCACTTAATTCAGTGACATTTTATGAAGAACTTTGTTATTGTTACATTCACAAATAAGTTGTTTCCCCTCTAATTTTACACAGAATTGAAGAGATCCCTATATGCCCTGTTTTCTCAGTTTGGACATGTGGTAGATATCGTAGCTTTAAAGACCATGAAGATGAGGGGCCAAGCTTTTGTTATATTTAAAGAATTGGGCTCATCCACGAATGCCTTGAGACAGTTACAGGGATTTCCATTTTATGGTAAACCAATGGTAAGTTGATCTTAGTATTTTGGCTTTAATCTCTATTAATGGTATAGTAGATTTGTAAATATATACTTTATAGCTATTGCTTTCTGCTTTTAAATATGTGTTAGAGGGAGTTTGGGTTTGTTTTATTTATTTTTATAGAAACAGTGGTAGAGTTTATAATTTACTTCTTAATTTATGACAGTTCATAGGGGCAAAAGCAAAATAGATTGAGATGTAGAATATTTTTTAAAATTATGGCAGGATAAGCAATATTCATATTTCAAAAGAACTAGAAATTAATAATTAGAAGAGTAAAAGAAAACCTCCATTCATATACTTATAAAAACCATGGGTCAAAGAGAAAAATCTACTCTGTTAGATTTAGAAAGTTTCAAAAAACACCATAGTAAAATACTACATTTGAGAAACTGTTCAGTCTAGATAAAGCAATGATCTAAGGAAAATTCATAGACTTAAATTCATGGGTTTATTAATAAATGAAAATGAAAGATATGCATGGAAAGTTTTAAGCTCAGGAGGGATGTAATGAGATTCATATTTAGCTGCTGAATAAAGATTGAATTGTGGGAGGGCAAGAAAGTAGGGAACTCATGTAGGAGGCCCTTGATATAAATCAGAGATGGTAGAGGATTGGATCGGGATGGAGACGGAGTTTAAAGCAAGGGGTTCTACTTGTGGGGGAGTACATAGTACCTTGGGTATGGATTCCAAAGTGGTTTTCTTCTGGAACTGGGCTGTGATGGGAAGGGATGTTGGGGAAAGAGCCAAGGCCTAGCATTTCCAGGTCCTCATTCTGCTTCTGCCATTAACTAGTTCTGTGCCTGTGTTCAGTTTCACCACCAATAAAATGTAAGTGGATTGGATATTTGTTGGTCTAATTCATAGGTCAGCAAAATGTCTGTCAGGACCAGATAATAGGTATTTTAAGCTTTGCCAGGGCCTAAATACTACTCAAAGTGTGGCACCCATACCAGTAGTATCACCCAGACTGCATTAGAATCTGCATTTTCACAGGTGCTCCCAGTAATTGGAATGCACGTTCTAGTATATGACATGCTATCCTTGACCCGTGTTTTTCATGCCTGACCTGTTGTCTTACTGTGCATATGTTTCTGCTGGTTGTGGCCCAGGAAGAATGAGCAGGTGGCCTGGTTGCACAAGTTATGATGCCACCCTTTTGTTTCTTTTCAGAGCATTTTAAGTTCAGGTTGATGCCACTATTAGTTATTTTAAGAATAATAGATGAGATTGAAAAGAAAGTCTTTGGTGCCTTAACTTTGGAAGTAACAAATTCCACATGACACATTTCACAGCTAATTGACACATTTGACCCTTCTACTGAAAGTCCCTGCTAAGGGATAGGCAACTTTCCAATGCAGTTTTCTCTATTCTTTTATTAAATGGAGAGAAGTAGTGGTACAGATACTTCACAGTCCTGCTTTTATGAAAATCTATGGTTTTTCTTCTAATAAGCACAGTTGAATCTAACTTTGTATAAGTCGTGAATCATAGGCCACAATTTATTTGCATTGGGCACTCACTGTATTTGACAGGTTTCCTTAGGGGTGGGTTTAAAATTATCTTGTAGTGTATTTGGATAATGGAATTTGAAATGCCAATGACGAGTGTAAACAACCTGGAGCGTAATGAAAAGTAACTTGTTTTCAAATAATTAAAACAGCGAATCCAGTATGCAAAAACAGATTCTGATATAATATCTAAAATGCGTGGCACCTTTGCTGACAAAGAAAAGAAGAAAGAAAAGAAGAAAGCCAAAACTGTGGAGCAGGCAGCGCTGACTGCTAATAAGAAGCCTGGCCTGGTAAGAGTGGCAAAAGCTCTTTACTTTCTGGTGTCAGGAATTTGATAGGGATGCCTGTCTTTCATTTGAGGGATGATCTTTGAGGCTCATATGTGCACATGTGTGTACATGTGTTTAAAAGGTGGATTTCTAAGAAGCTGGACTGGTTGAGTTCCAAAGTTCGAATATTTATGTTTAAACAACAAATTAAAAGATAAGGTTTTATATATGCAGATTTATATGTGACAGTTTTATTTAAATTTGTATGACATTTAGCTCATCGTTCACAGAATATATTAGTATCTGTTGGCTTATTTCTCAAATTCTGCTGCCTATAGATAGTACTGTAGATACTATTATTAACCATGAGTACTCCACTCACAGCTACTTTCTTAGAACAATTCAGGAATTCAAATTTTAGTTTATAACACCAAGTAAAAGTGAAATTATCATCCAAAAGTAGTTACTACTTTTAGATTAAAGGTGATTAGAAATCAGTTTCACTAAGTATAATGCTTGACTTTTGTCTAATTGCTAAAAGTAATAATGTAAGAAAAACTGCCCCCTGGTTTTTCTCTTGTATATTTCTTCATAATTTTGAGGCATCGAGATTAAATTATTTGACATAGTCTCCAAAATTTAAGGCTAGACCTTTCAAAAATACTTGACAAGCTAAATACATGAATGTTTGAGTCAGCTAAAATGTAATTTCTTAAAGTAAAATTAAATGGAATAAAAAACCTGTTTAAATTAATGTTATTTTTATGTAGTGATTATAAATGTGCTGCCTTTTTTAGAGGGATTGGAAATTTTAACTTTCTCTTTCTTGTTTAGGGAACACCAAATTCAGCTAACACCCAAGGAAATGCAGCGCCAAATCCTCAGGTAATATTTTTTCCTGTGGTGCTTTAAAATAAAACTTTATATGAAGCAATAGCAACAGCATACAACAACCTGCATGTCTTTAGAAACTGAAAATAATTCCATCTGTAAGCTATAACATTAAATTATATAGCACTTTAATGTAGAAGCTCAGAACATTTTAATTCCCTTTAGGAGGGAGCAAACCAAACCTGACTTTATTCCTCACTTTGCCTAATGAATCACTGAGGGAATTGGAACGACAGATTGTAAACTGTGAGGACCAGGAGCCGAGGGAAGCCTAGGGCTTCTCAGACACATGGCTTGAGGAAACTGGCCACGCAGTAGGCTCGTTTCTATTCCACTTGGCTGAAGTACTAAACCAGCTTTTCTAACAGGCTCACACAGAGTTGCTTTCCACTTACCCTTGTTCTTTCTTCCTCAGCACAGGTATATTCAAGTCTCCTATGTAGATGTCTTACAAACTCTTTTCCAGATCTTGCTAAAGGCCTCAGAGAGGAAGCCTCAATTATGTACTCACGGTTTCCTTTTTGCCTCCTAGGTTGCTAGGGTCTGACGATATATATAT